CAACTGCTTGTCTCCATGGAGATATTATTGGTTTAATGCCAAACTTTCCTAGCCTGATTCATCAGCCTGTTTTACTTCAAAGAAACTGTCTGACCTCGCAGAGTTAGAATTTATTTGCTTGATGTAGGTGGTTACTTATTTTCATCACCAATCGCTGCTATTTGGTCGTGACGTATGTAATGCACCGCTAACGGGCCTAACTGGTATATTAAGCTTTTCCCAAATCCCGTAGGAAAAAGATCTTTTCCCTTGATAAAATTCACTGAACATTCTCTTTGTTCCAGCTTTAAATCCTCGATTTCGGGAATTGTTGCCAAAACAGAATATATGGCTCTTCACTGATTGGCTGGTGCCCGAACTCGCACTTCTGGGGTTTTTGCGAACCATCTAGTGTATTCCGACTCCTGACGCCAGTCTGGCTAATACTTTCCATTTAGACAGCTCTAAGTAAGGAAAGTCATAATCCGTTTTAGAAGTTGGACATTGGAGCAGCAAGTAAGAACCTAAACAGATACAGGGAAAGCATGGAAAATCCACACTGAAAGGCCACATCTGATCTGGGAATTGAACCCATAGTGTTCTTTCTGTGAGGCTGGAGTCCTAATTACTATGCCTATGTGCCTATTTTTACGTAACTAAATGTATATATGTTAAACTGGACCTGATTTTACTGTCTTAACAACTATATTTACAGTGGTCCAAAGTTATTCCTCACTTAGTTTATGCATTCCTAATTATCAATCCTAAGTATTCACCACTATGAGTTTTTAAGTGCTTTACACAACTCTCAGAGACCAGTGCTGTTTTTCTTTGATGAAGCTAACAACTGCTAATGTACACTTCCTGATTATCAGACATTAAAATGCTAAATAATTAGGGATGCATCAATCCAGCTTTTTCAGTTCTGATACAAATGTTGATACTTGACTTTTAGTATTTAGCAATGCCCAATATTAACTGAAACCACAGTAGAAATTGAAAAGAGGTACTTATTTCATTAAAACACAGCTAACTTACACAACAAATCCAATTATTCAAATATCTACTAAACAGCTGTCTATGAAAAAAATTTCAAACATTATGAGACATTCAAGGCCATAATCAGCCTGTACAGAGTCCTATTACATCCATTTAAAGGTCCATCCTGGATATCAACTTAACCAATATCACTTAGGCTTAGACAAACCTTATGGCATCTCTCCCTAGTCTGATCGTCATGACAAGCATTCAAGATCTTGTTATCATAACACTATCTTAGGACGGTCAACACAAAGCCGGGTCATTGGCAATAAAACAACATGTGAAAAACAAGTGAAAAACAAGTGATCCCAGACACAACTATTTGAGTATGGAGCCTGGGAGTGAGAGGCCCCTATGAGGCCTCTGGCTACAGGATAAAGTAAAAGTCTGATTAGTGATGATTAAAGTCAACTTACACTTTACCAGAAATGCTTACACAAAGTGATTAAAGATGATTATGTAAAGATTCCCATAACAATCCACAAAGGAAATTACTTGGACACAGTAGCTCACACATCACAATATATACAATATTACAACAAAGAGAAAAAAAAAAACAAAGAGAAATAATACATTCTAAAAATAGGTAATAGGTAAAATAGGTAATACAAATACCTCAGTGATATACAAGGAGTCGTAAGGAAAACAGTGCAAAGATGATATGATGATTGGCAGGGTTATCTGTAACATAAGTGTGAGTTGTTGTACAGTGTAGGGAGTATTATCTGTTACGTAAGTCTGAGTTGTTGTACACTTGTATGGAGTATGGTATGAATGTAGTCCTGTATCTTTCACTGTTTGAGTGGAGCTCTAGGAGAATCTTGGAGAATGAGCTCCTCTGTCCCTCTATAGTCCGTTGCAGTGGGTGAGCAGAAGTGTCTATGATGAAGAGCAGTTTGTCCAGTGTCCTCCTGTCCTTCACTGTGACAAATGTCTCTAGCTCACAGACAATCACGTCACAAGCATTTCAGATCAGTTTATCAATCCACTCAATGTCCCTTTTACTGGTGCTGCTCCCCCAGCAGACCTCAGTGAAGTACAGGGCGCAGGCCACCACAAGCTGGTGGAAGATCTCCAGTAACTTGCTGCGCACATTGAAAGACCTGAGCTTTCTCAGGAAGTAGAGTCTACTCATGCCCTTCTTCTACACAGCACTACAGTTGTCCCTTCAGTCCAGTCTGTTGTTCACATGGATGCCAAGGTACTTGTAGCAGTATACTATTTCTGTGTCATAGCCTTGGATGGTGATGGGCTCCAGTGGTGTCCTCTTCCTCCTTAAGTCAATCACCAGTTCATGGAGCCGATCTGATATATGATCTGGATCATTTTTTAGTATCAGTGCTGATATTCGATACCAGTACCATACCTATTTATAATTAGACAGTATACTCATTTGACCTCAAGAGCAGCTTAAACAATGTATCTGTACTGGGGCAAGACACATTTTGTTCAGACTAATACTGCTCCAAATATAGCAGTATCATTACGTCAAACCATTTCTCATAATATTCTTAAAAATGCCTTCCCAATTATTGCCAGTCTTTCAACTATATCTTCCTGACCAAGGTCCTGACTCAAGAAAGAAAAATTTTATGGTGAAAATGAATTATACCAAAACCTAAGCCTCTTGTCTATGTGTCAAACGTTTTGTACACCCTACCTGCACAACAAGCATGCATTCATTACACTGTCCATGATTGTGCCACCTGTTAGAACCACGTGAAGCTGTCCTTATTATCGCATTCACACAATGTTTGATCCTGTCACGCTGCCAGGAAAGGTGCCAACAGAACTCCACAACCAGTGAAGATTCAGAAAACATAGAAAAGAGAGGGTAGGTACAGTAAGATTCTATAGCCACACAAAGCACTCGTTAGTACAGTATCTACTGCAATTATTTAATAAAATAGAAATAAGACATCATTTTACATATGAAGCAAGAACCAAAATACTACTGAACACTACTTGGGTCTGTAATATTATTAAGGCTATTCTGTTAAAGTGGCTATACTGTTTCTAGCTTTATAATGATCGCGAAACTCTGCTATGGTCTCTGAAAGTGGGGAAAAAAACACTTCTAAAATGAAACAACAACTTGCAGGATGCTAAGAGTGTGTTAGGAAAGTAAGGAACAATTTTGGACAACCCCAAACCATTGAGAAACCAATTCTGTGTTTCACATTGCTAAGACACCTAAAATCAGGTACAGTGCCTTTCATTTATCCCTTAACTAATAGCTAGCAAAAAAAATCCAGTTTTGAATCAAGCTCTGGGTGCTTATCTATATGAAGCTAATAGAAAAAAAACTGTCTATCTTACATAATTCTTTCTGTATCTTCTGTCATCTTGTGTGCTTGTTACAAAACCAATTGCCTGTTGCCTGGAGACTGTCTGCCTTTTGGAGATGAGGTCAAGGAGTCTTTGAGAGAGTCCTTGTGAGTTATACAGTCTGATAATATTATGGTAATTCTGCACCTGTGATAGCCTCAGAAAAAGAACCCCATTTTTAAACTTTGTGCCCCTCTGTGCCCTCAGACCACCTGCTCTGATCCAGATACAAACCTCGGAATCTGGAGAATAGGAATTTTTATCTTTTCTTTTCCTTTATCTCTTATTTGAATTCAATCTACGAAAAAGCTTTGGGCTAAGACTGATATTATTAAGTGATCCAAGATGTGGTACAGGTTTTTTTTTGTTTTTTTGTCTGGGACTTTTTGGGTGCAATGACAAAGCTACTTCAATTCTGACGAGCAACCATAAGCAATGCAATACACTACTGGCTACACTATACTACCCTATAGTAATTTGACAAATGCTTAAGCGTTTCCATGGATATTACTCCATGAAAGTATTTTTGTCAAGGTATGTTTTTTAGCAATAAAAACACCTGCCAGTAAAAAAATGAATTACACATTTGCATCACCATAGAGACAAGCAGGTTGTGAACCCTTAACCTGAAAAGTTAGATATTGCACCTTTTAAGCGAAATATATATGAACCTGTTCTGTTTGCTGTTATTTTTTTTTTCTGTGTAAATGTCTCTTTTGTGACATTTTCCACTTAAAACAGTCCAATCCCGTACAGACTTCTTTGAGGGGACACTTTCCCATGTAACTCTCTTTCTTCAGCTGTGTACAGGGGTGAAATGTGAGGAGGTCAAAGGTCACGCATCTGCTGCGGACAGACCCAGGATGTTGGATGTTTTCACAAATGGGCTAATTTGTTATGAGAAAGATGGCCTCATTTATGTCTACTTGATAAAAAGCAAAGTTTTCACACCTGGACAATGACTTTACTGCTACTAACAAAAAATACTGATTGATTCTTTAGTTTTGAGATTTGATATTAGGGCTCAAAGCCAAAACTAACTTTCCTTATACTCCAACTTTGTCTGAGGGCCAAACCACTCTCAGATAAAACTGGCAGAGGGAGCATCAGAAACCCAACCCAAAAGCAGAAGGACAGACAGTAACCAGGGTCTTGCTGCCATTAAAAACATTTGGATAATTTCAGCCCTAGAGCTGCCAAAAGATATCTGACATTATATTTTAATTTGCCCATTTAAAATCGCACTATTCATCTAAAACAACTTAATAAAAGAAACAAGCCCGCTGTCCTCTGCATTAGAAAACTGCGGTGCCCAGTGGGAGCAGACATTACAGTAAACATGATCACAACACAGACCAGTGAAGTTGTCTGTTCGGCAAATGGGTGGCTGCACATCATGCAAGCGAGTAGTCGATTTTATTCATTTGTACCAAAATGACTACAGTATGTTGCTAAGTCCTACGTGTACCCATCAAAAAAAATTTAACTGGAGAACAAAGTAAGTACAGAGCAGTGGGCGTATGTCCGTGGTGATGAAAAAAGTTGATCTGCAATATGGTGTCTTGAAAATAGACGAATATATGCAGGAATCACTCATACTATAATATAAGCTCTGAAAAGTTTTAAACAGTTTAAACAGTTAATATGAGTACCTGTGGGTCGGACAGGCGGGAGATGTCGGGGTAGAGGTAGAACTTGATTCCGTCGAAGGCTCCAGGCAGCGTCACTCCTCTGATCAGCAGCACCAGCAACATCACATAGGGGAACGTGGCTGTCACATACACCACCTGCACCAACCAAAAGTTTGTTTAGACACTGCACTCTCAAGGCATTATACAACTACACTGGACACCAACAGCTGAGTAAACACTGGGACATTACAGCATTTACATTTTCAATGAAAGAAATGGGCAAATACTAGCATAACCACACGGAGCCTTAACACTTTTTGCAGTGAAGGCAGGAGTGGGTTTGGTGGAGTGGGTTTGGTCAAACCAAAATAAAAATATAAATCCAATATTTTTGCTTTGCTCATTTTATTGCATATTGAGAATTTGCAGCTGATGGCGTCAACATTTCCTGGAGGTGTGAAGCTAATTGCTGCTCTGTTTGAAGCTCTGTTCTCTGATCTGAGCTTTATTTTATGACAATCTGACCAGAAAGAGCTGACTTAGTTGGAACTACAACAAGGATAATTTGTGCACTTAAAATCAACAACATTAGTCAACATTTTATCAGGTAGCTGCTCTCACCTTTGTTTTGAACATCAAACACCTAAACAGGACCATGAACGTGTGTATTCATCACAAGCTCAAATGTTGTTTAAATCCATTTTGTATTTTTGTGTTATGTTTTCTTAAAACTTTTTTGTCTTTTTGCTAATATGTGCATTGTGTCACCATGGTAACTGCTGAACATTCTACCAGTAGAAATATATATATAGAACAACCCCAGCGTGATGTCACCACAAACAATCAATGCGGACAATCATTCCTTCCATTTTGTCCATTCACTCAAGCTGATCAGGAACAAAAGAGATGAGAGCTCCTCAACTTCAAGATAAAACTTCCAGAGGAGTTTCAATGCATTTTAAATATAACACATTGGGAGAGTTCACATACATTTCAAAGTATTGGATGAAACCTAAAATACCACTCAAGTTGTCTTATGCTGGCTGAAAATACTACTAAGACACATTCGGTTTTAGGAGTTACCAGTGACCAACCCCAACTTTCTTTTTTGGGACATTGGAGTTTGTGGAGCGGTGTGCAACATCTCAAGACTCTTAGAACAAAACCCTGAGCCCCTTGGAAGGCAGAGGCGGTAACATACATGCCTTGCTCACTGGCACGCAGTCAAAGTCCAATTGAGGACAGAAAGTGCGGAGCAGAGCCAGCGCAGGAGTGAGAGGAGAAAAGAGGGGCGCTGTGTATCTACAGGACGTCCCAGAGGAGAGGGGTGCACTGTGGGAAAATGTGCAGAAGCCCACACACCAGCCCATTCACAACACTACCACCACATACTACGACTATTGTACAGCACATGTTACACACTATACATTTACATAGTGCTGTTATCAGGGGGATTATTCACACACAAACCTATAGTGTATCTCTATAGTGGCCATGTGTGAATGTGGTGTGAGTGAGTGACTGGTGGTGGTCAGACGGGTTAAGTCCGATGGTGCAGATTGGCAGCCTCTTCTCTGTCAATCTAGACATTTTAATCTGCAAACTTGACTTTCATTGAAATAACTTTTGTTTTTTTGTAATGGTGCACTGTGTAACTTTTTGAGTGGGGGCCTGTCACCTACTTGTTTCTATGAATATGTCATTGCTCTAGTCTAGTTGGGATGCTCCACGGTATGGCATTAAACAACTCTACTTTACATTTATTCAATTACAAGTGTTTTTATTGCTCAAAAATACAGAGAAAAACAGGCATTCTGACTGAAAACGGGTGCCTCTCCATAGAGCTGGTACTTGGTCTGCTTTGGTCACCTTGAAGATAGAAAGGTTTAATACCATACTGTGAAACATTCCAGACAAAGCAATACCATACAATGGCATCTCGTTTGCGAGGGGGTCTCCGTGAAGAAAAGCATTTGACAGACCCTCCACCAGAAAAGTACACACAATGCACCTTTAAAGAATTAAGTTAATTTCTTTTTTTCTTTTTCAATTGGAATTTATCCATACTGACTCGGGTTTTAATGCAAACAAGTACTTCTAAATAATTGTGTAAATTGTGTAAAAATATTGTGTAAATGCATATGAACTAAATTTCAGTCACACATAACACCAGTTAGCTATAATATTAAATCACGCTTTGCATTTCAGACATGTTTGAATCAGTGGTAAAGTTTTTTCTTTAGGTGCACTTTGTAACTTTTTTGATGGAGGGTCTATCACCTTCTTCTTCATCTTCTACATGGAGATATTGCCTTGAATGTTCCACCGTATGACATTACACTTATTTATGTTTCCATGGAGACAGCAGGTGACACCACAGGACCAAGTTACATGTCAAATCTGTGGAGAGGCGAGCTCACTCACAGTAAGAATACACATGTTTAAGTCAGTAAAGCCCATGTTATTGAGAAAAATAAAAGATAGATAGATTTAATGCTGAACCATGACGGTCCACACAAAACAATATCATCTTTGTGGAGACAAGCAGATGGCAAACCCTCCACTAAAAAAGTTACACAGTGCATCTTTAATAAAAAACATTTCAGCTATATTGCCCACTGCATTGATTGTAGTCATGCCCCAGTGTAATTTGTCAACCACAATGATTACATCTCCAAAACCCTCCTCCCCATCGAGAAGATACAGAGCCCAATATTCATTCCCTCCATGAAGCGCTGTGCTCACTTCCAGCTCACCGCGGGCAAACATTTAAGCCGGCACAAATTTACTGGTCAAACGCGGCCCCTGCCTTGCCGTAAATTTCACCCAAGAGAGCCTCAATGTGAGAAAGGCTCCGAAACAGGGGCCAACCAAGCAAACAGCTTAGAGCAGCTGAATGGGCTGCTCTGGCTTCATTCTCAAAGACAGAGGGAGAGAGAGAGGGGAGAGAGAGAAAGAGGGAGAGGGGGAGAGAGAGAAGGAGGGATGAGATACTCTGCATGCGCCTCATGATCGCGCGTCTTTCCTTTACTGAATGCACGAATCAATCTTAAATCAGAGCCATGAAGAAGCTTTCTCCCACCATTTTACAAAGGACACTTCAAAGAAATATAGGCATCAGTTGTTTTGTCACTGTCATGTACAATGTCGCCCCCATTCATTTAGACTCTCCCTCTCTCTCCTCCCTCTGCCCTCTCATCTCTCACTACCTCTCTTTGCCCTTTCTCTACTTGTGGACTCAATGAGACAGAAGTTTGTGGACTTTGTGAAGGTGCTGAGAGCAGCTGGTAGACTACACTGACAGTGGGCGGAACATGAAATAAAATGGTGGGACAGATGCTGCAGACATGCTTTGGTCTTCAGCTCTCACAAGAGAAAATATGCAGGACAATGAAGTGCACATTTTAGGTCTTATCTATTGGAATCTTTTGAATGGCCCCCAAATTGGCATCTATAAACAGGAAACTGTAACCCATGATTATTATGCTTTTAGTCCAGGATCTTGGAACTATTTAGAGCCTCTTAATTCTTGCTGTATGAACTGAAAATAAGATAGCAAGAAAAAAGTACCTGTACCTCTGTCGCTATGGAATTAAAATGGCAGAACAACATTTTAAAGGGTCCATATGACACTATTTTCTGATCAATATCATAATGCTGTTTCCTCATAAACCTACCAAACATACCAGCAGTTTAGTTGTGTTTAATTCACATGTTTAACAAATAAATACTACATATTTAGGCTGAGTTCTTCTCTCAAACTAAAAACACTCTGATTTGTGATGTCATTTGATAATAAACTGCTTTTAAACTCAATGCATGAGCCATTTGGATCATTTCAGCCCTTCTTTACTGAATAAAAGATAAAAGGTAGCTGCTAATTTAAAAACTACCTCTTCGTGGCATGGCATGGCATCACAAGGTGCAACAGAACATTCGGAGCTTTGGAGATGTAGACAGACTGATAAAATGTTTACTCAAACATGTGCATTATAACATGGCTTCAAGCTCACAACAGTTTTTGCATAATATAGGGCCTTTAAAATACAGAGGACCAGTTGATGTAAGAGTACTTGGATAAATGATTAAATATAAAGGACTAAATGATAGATGCTCAACACTAAAACCTCAGATTCTGTCTCCTCCCTCTCCAGTCTGTACCTTTCCGGTGGACTTGGGGCCCTTCCAGATGCAGAAGTAGCAGATGAACCAGGCCAGAGCCAGACACATGGCCAGCTCCCAGCGCACTCCGCCCATGTGCTCGATGCCATCTGAGATCTTCAACACTCTCCGCCTACAGCACACAATGTACAGAGTTAGGAGAGAAAAGGTCTTTTTATAACACATTTGGTGTCCGTAAAAAAAAAAATTGCTCAAAGAAAAGTATTAATTTTTTTTTTTACATGCCTTGAACACAGAGTTTAAGGTGCACTGTGTAGCATATCTAGTTGAGGGTCTGCTACAAACCCCATGGGGACCACTGCTTTACTTCGAGTGTTCCACAATATGGCATGAAGCACCATGGAGACAAAGAGAGACATCACCAGGCCAAGTTAGAGCTCATATAACAATGCATGTTTTTCAGGACTTGATAGATATGCTTAATGCCATACTGTGGAATATTCTAAGCAAAGAAATATCTATATCATCTACATGGAAACAATCAGGTGGCCAAAAAAGTTAAATAGTTCATCATCTCCACTCTGGGCATAAAGTAAACATAATAATTTATAATACAGCTTCTATTCTAATCAATCTACGTCACTTTACATGATCAATTTACTGTCAACTCTTGACGGTGCTAAACTATACTTCTTTAGTCTGAACTGCCCTGGGACAGGTGGAATAAATGTGTCTGGTACACTGAGATCAAACAGCAGACCAACCAGATTTATCATGGCATCATTTTAGTTAGGTAAGGTTAGAAGTTCAACAGTTTTGAACAGCAAGTCTGCTTTGATATTACTGAAGGTACCACTGTGTTTTGCCGTGAAACAATAGTTCAGAAGAAACCACAAAGGATCTGCTGCCAAAAGTGCAACACCTTCACCTCGGGCTCAAGGACATGACCAGGACATGGATGACAGAAACATGCTCTTGGTAAGAGCTATAAACATAAGTCACATAAGTCCATTTGTTCTTTTTTTTTTTTTTTTTTTACAATATTATATACTAATAATAATGCTGCAATATTCACAAGTGATCCATCTGGCTGCTTATGAGCAAAATGAAGTCTGATCTATGGAAAGGCCACACCACACACTGCATCAATACATGATTTCGAATTATTTCTTTCGCAATATAAACACCTGTAATTGTATGCATTATGCATAAGTTAAATGCCATATTGAACATTCTAGGCAAAGAAATCACATCTCCATGGAGACAAGCAGGGGTCGGACTATCCAGCAGAAAAGTTACATGGTGCACTTTTAATACAATGAAAACTAATTATAGCAAAACCAAAAATGATTTGGCATTGTTAAGTGCATTTTATTCTCAATAAATCACCATATAATCTGCATATATGTATGATTCATTAAAACATCACATTACAGTATCATTGCCAAGTCAGCACCGGTTGTTTACTGTACTCTTCACTGCCAAAATGTGAATTGGCAAAGGTTATCCAAAACTCAGCACCACTCATCCCTGGCCAACCTCTAAATAAAGCAGTTTAGTGTATTTGGTATAGTACAGGCTGTGTGGTGGTAGTGAGATCATAGATGGTACATGAGCCAGTATTGTGCCACTAGAGGAAGTGCTCCTCACTGGGCGACAGCTGTCCTCCCGGGCCGTACACTCTTGTCTGAAAGAGTGTTTAGAGTGTAGCGGTCGGGGGGTCAAGGCAAGACTACGAGGCTGCCCCACACATTTTATAGAACTACTTTTGGCACAGACCCGCTCTAATAAACCATCAGTGCACACAAATGAACACTTTGATCATAATAAATGCAGATTGAATTCAAGCTGAGACAATTTGTCACTTCACTGGAACAAATATGGCAGAGAACAGAGCTGCATACATAAAGAAGCTGATGTATCAGAGTTTGAGAACTGTGCATGTGTCGAGTGATCAAAATAGTGTTAGTGACTGAGGTATTAAAAAGTATAGATGGCATTTTTTTAACAAGTTTTAACACATTTTTAGATCAAGCTGGCATGGAGAAAAGATAATTACACCAATGTACAATTCTTTATAATAGTGAAATTTCAATGCATTTTAATACAAAGGTAATCAGATTGGCATAGAGATTCTTGCCACAATATTACTTATATCAAAAAAACTAAATAAAACCCTTGCATCACCCATCATTAGCATGTATACTGCTTATATAATATGCGTTTCTGAGAATTCACCAAATCATCATAAACATAGGGACGGAAAACTCAGTACTTCTCAGTAATAACATCACTTTACAACAATGTACAGTTTGTTCCTGGTATGTTTTGGTTACTTTAGATTAGTGGCATTATAAAATGCTTCCAATCAGGTACAAAATAAAAAAACTGTACTCACTCCCAGAACTCAATGACCGGGGAGCTGGCGTTGAGGTTGGTGACATTGGTGGCGTTTTCTCCATAATAGTCCACACAGTATTCTAAGGACAAGAACAGAAGAGAATTTATAGTGTAACAGCAATGTTTCCAAGTAGAGTTATAACTATTGATGAAGCTATAACGTTGGCTAATATTGGAATCTGTAAAACTAGAGAAATAAATAAATAACATCAGTTTAATCAGAATTCATGGATTCTAGTGCAAGGTAATGATAAAATGTCATTTACAAAATTATCTATTGTTTGAGCTGTTGTTTCAGGGTTCATCGCAAGCAGTGGTGGAACATAATGAAGTAAAAGCAGTAAAGTACTGTACTTACGTAAAAACATCTGTCTGTACTTTACTTAAATACAAGTTAATGCTCATTTTCACTACTTAAGTAGATATTTTCATTTGATACTTTTACTTTACTTTGCTCCAGTATCTGTACTTTTACTTAAGTAACAAAATTTAATACTTCTTGTTCTGAAATGTTCATTGTAAGAATTCACGTCTAAGGTATTTCACGTTTTCTAAGGTATTTATTAATTATTAAAATAGATTAAAACAGAAATAAAAGCTAAATAGATATGTTTAATCTCATACTGTGGGACATTTCAGGCAAAGCAACAACATCCATGGAGTTTACATAGAAGAGTACTTGGGAATGGGAATGTTAAGCAGGGGAACTGGGAATGTTAAGCAGTACACATTGAATTTTTGCTAAAATGTTGTTATTTATTACCATGGCAACAGTGTATACCAACCTGTGTTCCAGTAGTGACCACAGCCGGCCCAGGGCAGCTCAGTCGTGAAGCACTGGAAGAGGTAGAAAATAGCCCACGCCAGAATCACAATGTAATATACATTCAGGTAGGCCTCGATCACCTGTGTTGCATATCCAATACCTAGAACACACAAGATTGGTTACTGAATCTACAAGTAAGTGATCTTTTATTAGTTCAGAAAGTTCTTATGACTCCTGTTTGTACCTTCAAACAGAGGGCAGACCTTCATCCAGCAGGTGATGCCTCCTTCACTGGTAAACTGTCCCAGAGCCGTCTCCAGGAAGAACACAGGGATTCCACAGCAGATGAAGAAGATCACGTACGGCACGAAGAACGCACCTAGTACAGGAAAAAAGAGTATATACACAGATTGACATAAATAATAATAATGGATGGAGTAATAGGTTAATAGTTGGGTTTGTTCAGTTTCAGGTGGACTTTACACTTGCTCATTCACCACATTACAATTGGGACTAACCTTGGACTAAACCTGGAACTAGACCAGGACTAACCCAAAACTAGAACAGGACCAAACCAAGACTAGACCAGGACAAAATCAGGCTCAAATCAGCATTAATGTGAATGTAATCCTAATTCTTTACCAATTATAATGGCTGGTTGGGGTTTTTGTCTTGAGTTAGATTTGGTTTGCTCCTGTTCTAGTTCTGGTTTAGTCATGGTCTAGTTCTAGTCTTATGGTCCTTACCCATATCCCTAATACACCACTCCACACTGTGACTTTGACTATATTCAATAAACCCTGAACTCAACATTCTACAGTCTCTTCAGCATCTTCAGTCTAATAATAAATATTTTAAATATTTCCATTTGTGGTCTTTGCAAGTGAAAATGGATGTAAACAGCTACATCTAACCTGGACAAAGCACTAAGACAAACAGCAGAGACTCAAATATCTGGGTAATCTTAAAATATAGAGATTGGATCCTGATCAAGAGATTAGATTAGCTGTGCATGATTGGCAACGCATTACATTCTGGGTCACTTTTCTAAATAGGTCAGAAATAACATCTGACCTTTAAAGCTGACCCCGTGGAGAGCCGTAATGGCACCTGACTGAGACACCTGCCTCATTTACTGAATCCATTCATAAAACATGAAGAATCACCAACATATGAGCAGAAAAAGGAATATAATACTGAATATGTTTGGACAACTTGTACTCTAATTTCTGATTTAACGTTAAAGTATTTCTCTTTTCAGGACCTTTAAACAGCAAACAGACCTGGCCCGGGATTATGGGGTTCTTTGACTAAATGCTAACCAGTACTGCAAAAAGGGTAAAAACTCCCCATAGCAACGCAATATTACAGCAAATTGGCACATTTTCCTGAGCATTTTTTCCAATGCATCAAACTGTTTCCATCACTACAGCATGGACAGCCACTTTTTATAAAACTAAGCTAGTATGGTGACGCCAACATTCAGTGTAATTTCTATTGGGAACTAATCAAACCAAGGTTGAAGCAAGCATCAGCAATAGAACAAGGACTGAGCTATGCATAATTCAATCAAGGACAAAATAAAAAGCAGCAAATGATGTTAAGATGAGTTATGCCTGTTTAACTGTACGTCATGGAAAGATTGCTGAATAAAACACCCCACTGTGATGGATCTTTCAGACTCAAGTTACTGCAGCAGCAACTAAAATTTGGCGTTCACATACCCGTTATAACTGGTATCTTTGAAATGCTGAATCACCAAAAAACAATATCTTTCTTCATAGTGAAATAAAATAATCCAGAAAAGATCATCTAGAAGTGCACAAGAGCACAAGATGACCATGATCATAGCTCCTGTTTCAGCATAATTCAAACTACTTTCCTGTTCAGTTAAAATGGCCTAGTACATTTAATCTCAGAGTCCTACCTCCTCCGTTTTTGTAGCAGAGGTAGGGGAACCTCCACACATTGCCCAGACCGATGATCTCTCCGGCCACAGACAGGATGAACTCGATCTTGTTGCTCCATTGGCCTCTCTCATTGTAGTCCCCGATGGGTCGAGAGCTGGTGCTGGAGCTGTCCCCGTCTTTAGAGTCCTCTGGTTTACCGTTTATCACCGGACCACTCTTCTCAGCCGTCATGACTTCCACTCACTCTAAAGAAACACAAAAACAGATATCCAACTGTAAGGGACTGTAGAACTACCTAATAATAAGAATATACTGGATTTATTGAGCGCCTCAAAATACCCAAAGTGTTTTATAGTCCATTATTTATTTACTCCACACATGATGAAGGTAAGATACTACTGTAGCCACAACTGCCCTGGGACAGACAGACAGAAGCAAGGCTGACAATCTGTGCCACCAACAACACTCATACACACCAAATTCATGTGGGTGAAGTGTCTTGCTTAAGGACACAACTGTTTTTGCCACTGGCGCTCCATTGTGCCACCTGGTATCTTACATGGGACATTTTGAACTGAAGTACATAGACTTAGTACATAGACAGAGATAAAACTTCAGTAGGTTTACTCAAAAAACAAAAAAAACAAAAAAACGACCTTTCAAAACACAACAAACAACTTTTCATGTATATCAAATACAACTGGATAGTAGGGCTTTAACTAATGATTATTTTAGTAGTTGACTAGTCAGCAATTATACAGTTTTTTTTGTTTCAGTTATTTAGTATTTACAATGCCTCTTACTTTGGTCATGTGTTTTAGAATCTGTAGTCCAGTTAAAGATTGTGATTATCAAAATCTCACTACGATTATTTTAATAGTCGACCACTCGACAGTTAATCATTGTAACTTTTCTGGATATCAGATTTCAACTAATGTAAATACTATGTCACTCAAACAACATTACATTATTTCATGATTCATTCCCTCGGCCTCCCTGACACCCATCAAATTTTCTATCATCTCTAAACTATTTTGTCTTTTATAGATGAATTAATACTACCACACTAATGAACAAGATGGAAGCATTTAATCAGAGGGCACAATAGAATGAAGAGACTGTACATGAGCTGATCTTGTGATCAAAGGGACCTGCAAACTACTGTCAGCCCTGCATGCAGATGTGAGGCTATAGGTGTTACACAATTTAATTAAGATATTGAAAAAGCTGTTCTACAGCAATTTTGTTCAGTCACTTGTGTATAAAAACAAATATCTTGTTTCTGGGGAAATATTTAACAAGTGATTAGAGGATAGTATTCTTAGAATTTCCCAATAATCACTATAACAATTGCTAAACAAGCAATGTGATTGTGCAGGGAGATAAGACAATGTAACCATGTCCAACTGATTGACAATCACTGAGTAACAATTTGCCTTGAACACACTTTTTCTGTATGAAACCTTGTGCAACATTAAGTCAAAATTGCATTTGAAAATGCGCATTTCAATAAATAAAGTCTTGTCTCCTTGTGCGCAACTATCCATATAATTCTAGGCCTAACTAAATCCAATAAAAGCGTTAAGTGAGATTGGTAGTACCAATTCAGAAGTGCTTTAGTCTAGACTCTAGTCAAGTCCTGCTCTGTACTCACCAATGTCCTCGTCCTAGAGACAGATCCTGTGACTCCCACCAACACTGTTTTCCAGCCCACGGGACGGTTCAACCTCAACGGGAGGTCAAAAGAGACGGGGGTCCAAACCACGACAAACAAAAACGTCTGTGCGTAATGGTTTAGGCGTTTTGACGGCTTTTGTAGTTTCTTAAAGACGAGGATCCTGTCGCGCCGGAGGGATGAGGTCCTGTGTGAGCCGCTGGAGAACACGACTGCGCTCCAACTCCGCGAGCGCGCGCCTCTCAAGCGCCTGGAGTTGGACACGCGCCATGTGGTGACCAACGCGCACAGCGCGCGGACGCGAGTGGAACCACAAAACTGAAACATTTAAACTTTTCTAAATCTCAAAAATATGATATTATGTGCTTTGCCTGGATGGAAATGATACCAAGTAGCGTGGTGCGTAAAAGAAACTCGTGCGTAAGAAGACCATTCCCGCGTAAAAGCGCAAAGAAACCAAACCAGCTAACAAATTCCCCCATTCAGTGTTCCTGGATATTTAGATCTGACAGCGTCTTTACAAAATGATAAACAGATTAAACCGCATCATGTGTAAAAGGGCAGCTTCGCGTGCGCCCTGCTGTCCCACAACTGGTCCACCAGATGGCACTGTACACTGCGGCGAGATGTTATTACAATTTGGTTTGCAATAACTTCTGTAATAATTTTCACCATGAGATAAAATTTGTTATTGTAGCTAATTTGAAGCCTTGAGGGCATGGTGATATCTGAAAGAAAAAAGTAATAATTAACCTATAAATATATAAAGTATTTTATGGTACAATTGTAAGATAAGGCTGGTAATAAACTAGAATCAACAAAAATAATGTTGTTCCCGAATAATTACACAGGAAAATTAATAAGACCATTTTGGTGTAAGCAGCTGGTCGATGTTTCACAAACACTGGGGCCAAGGCTCATGAAAGGGCTACACTTCAAATAGTTTAATTTTATTTGGTGCCTAAAAATTCAATAATGACATAAAACTGTCTATTTCAAATTCCTTAGATTCAACACGTATTCATTCGAGGCCTTAAGTCAAACACAGCCCTGTACTTCCTTGTTGTCTGCTGTCGGTGGGAAGTTGGTGAAAAGCCGTGACCCGGAGAGACTTATTATTGCAGTCTGACTTCTTTGTAACTCTGAGACCACATCGGTGAATACAAACTCTGTCTCTTTGTTTGGACCAAAAATCACTCCATCATCACCACAAAAGCACGCCCCATTCACACTCACTGTATCACACTTGTCACCCCCACATGATGAATTATCGGACGTCATAACCACCCATGCTGATTCTCAAACAACAATTTCTGAATATGTGCAAAGGTTTTGGGGTGTATGTTTAGTGGTATCCAGGCGTGATGTAGCGGCAGCATTAGGAACTCCCCTGGCTGTGAATGCCCTGCCCCCGTGCCTTCACTCTGGGGTCACCCGTCAGTGGGAGAGAGGAGGAAGTGCCCCGCATGAGAAGTGTGACCACCCAAAGAGACTGGCACCACCTCAGTGCACCATTCAAACAAGTCAAGTCTGTATTTATGCCACAACAGACAGCAGAGGGAGCAGAGGGGAGGAGAGCACAGCTAATATGCACCTTCACTGCTGGTCCCATTCAGCATTCTCCTGTTTGCTCTTGGTCATTTCTTGAATGAGACAAGATCATTTAGGATTTAGTTGCAAACAAACTTTAAAGGTGTGCTATGTAACTTTTCTGGTGGATGCTCTTTTGACTATTTTTAATATTTATTCTGTAAAGCATCTCTTAGTGTCCTGAAAAGTGCTATATAAAATAAATAAATAAAATAAAATGCATAATTATTAAATGTATTGAGTTTACTACCTGTTTGTCTCCTGAAATGTTACACAGAACTTGTCAAGCTGGTGCCATTTAATGCCTCCGCTCAATTTCATTTCTTTCCAGTGACTAGATCAGGAATCAAAATACTATAGACGGTTCGCAAAAACCCCTAAAATGCAAGTTCGGGCACCAGCCAATCAGTGAAGAATCATACATTCTGTGTTGGCAACGATTCCTGAGATCCAGGATTTAAAGCCGGAATAAAGAGAATGTTTGGTGAATTTCATCAAGGGGAAAGACATTATTGTCCTTCTTCCCACAGGATTTGGGAAAAGCTTAATATACCATTTAACCCCGTTAGCAGTGCATTACATACGTGACTACCAAATAGCAGAGACTGGTTAAATGATAAAAAGTACTCGCCTACCGTTGAGCGAACAAATTCTACAAAGTGAAACTGTCTGATGAATCAGGCTACCACAGAACACCAGTAAACTTAAATGTTCCACAGCACACCATTAAACTTAAACTATCTCCATTGAGACATATATAGAGCTACCAAACCAAGTTACAGGTCAGATGACTTATAGTAAGAATAATGTTTTTCAAGGTATTTTTGAGTAATAAAAATATTAATGCAAGAATGATAGATCGGTTTAATGCAGGGGTCTCTAACCTTTTGACTCCTGTGAGCTACTTTTTGTAAAATGAAAATGCCAGAGAGCTACTAATTTTAGTGGTTGTCAGAAATTTTGTAAATCTAAGAGTCATGGTAAGCTGAAAAAGAGGTACAATTAGATGTCTATAAAACATAACCTATTATGTAGTAAACAGTGCACAAAATAAGGCATCAAAATGATACTTTTACAAAGGAAACAAACATTTAATCAGTCAAATTTGAGTTATTCAGTGTAGCATGTATAATTCAGAAATCCCTTGGTGAGCTACTTGGAAGAGAGTGGAAAGTGACTGGTTACAGGTTGGAGACCCTTGGTTTAATGTGTACTCTGGAACATCTCTCCACTTGTTGTAAAATGCTAGCCTGTGTCGAAAAGTGTACTCTCCCTTTATAATTATGGATATTTGCTGACTTACTTTTAAAAGCCTTTAAAAATGAACAAAATGTGTGTCTTCTCTGATAAAGAAAAGTCAGTTCGGGAGAAATGAAACCCTTTGCTCATATTATTTATAACTATTGATTAACTAGCAGGGGCTTAAAAAACATAAAAGTCAAATCCACAAATTCTTTCATTCACATTAACATCTTCTCAAAACACCAATTAATCTGCACGCTGTAATTTCTTTTTATCCAATCTCAATTAAACAGACCTATAAATATTGTGATGTCATACAAAATCCAGCAGTAGTATAGTATAAAACGGATTGTGTGAGTCCTCCCCAAAGGCACTGTGTCAAATACATAATCTGAAGGGTGAAGGAGGTAATGTATTTGTCTGTCTGCTTTTATTACCTGAGGGACAGTGTGATCAGGAGAAGACGAGAAGACACCCACCACATTCAATCTATTCACTGCCAACTGATGCCTGTGTAACCTGTGTGAGTGTGTGTGTGTGTGAGAGAGAGAGGAAGAGAAGAAGAGAGAGGAGGAAGAGATGATAGGGAAAGAGAGAAAGAGATAGACAGTATGGAGGGATTAGGACATCAAAAAAGGGGAAAAAGACAATGAAAAGATGCTGGAAAGAGAGAAGACAGGAGAGAGATAGTGGGGGAGAGAGAATGGAGGAGAGGACAGATAGGAGATAGATGTAGGTAATCATAGAGCTGTCCGTTCAGGGTCAGAGCAGAGGACTGAGTTTGACAAGAACAGGACGAATGTATAACTGACAGTGAAAAAAAATCAAATGTTTTATCTTTATTCAGTCTGTGATGTGCAGGGGGCTTGTCATCAAAGTGATGAACTCTGTCAATCATTATATTAGTGTGACCACCTCAAATAATAGTAATAGTATGTGGTAGGACATGGGGGGATGCATCTGGATAATAGGCTTATAAAAAGGCTACGATTGTTGTGTTTTAGTTTTAGTTTTTCCTCGAGTGACGCGGAAAAGACGGAGCCACTGTCTGTGTGAATGTTCCTGCATTGTTTGATTGTCAGTGTTTATCTCTTATAGTTTGTAACAGTAATAGATCACATATTACAGCACTGGCAAAATTATCTGTTTTATCTCCATGACGATATAGATGGCATTTTAAGGTCAAATGTGCTAAAATGTGCCTTTTAATGCCTTTGCTGAGTTTCAAGTCTACTATTAAATGTGAACGGACCATAAAATTAACCACAAATGTGCAAAAATATCACTTCATACCTTTGTGTTTGTTTTAATTATAGAAAATATACAAAAATATATATTTGAATTCTGCATAACCTCTAAAACAATGGCAATATTATGCTTTTTTCAATATATCTCCCCACTTAGTTTACAATCTGGTAACAGAGGGAACTCAAAAAACTTATTACATTACTCACTACATTTTTGCAGGGAATATTTATGTGGTCTCCGTAATCATTATTTGTTGATTTCAGAATGATTAAATGTATAATTGTTATTATTTATCTCGTATACACATCATTTGTAATAGCAACAGATACATATTACAACTTGGAGTGGAGAACACTTTAAAAAAATTATGTCAGTTTTGTTTTTTTTGTTTTGTTCACCTTATCTTCATGGCGATACAGATGACATTTTATGTGCTAAAATGTGCCTTTAAATGCCTTTGCTGAGGTTCAAGTGTAGTATTAAATGTGAATGGACCATAAAATGAACCACAAATGTGCAGAAATATCACTTTATACCATTGTTTTTGTTTTAATTATAGAAAATATACAAAACATTTTTTTCAATATATCTCCCACCTCAGTTTACAACCCAGAAATACATGACCCCCAAAAAGCTCTACATTTTTGCAGGGAATATTTATGTGGTCACCCTAATCATTATCTATTGATTTCAGAATGATGAAAATGTAGGAACGTTGCTGATACCGATGAATAAATATCCTGTCTTTTGAATGGGAAAGAGTGCAGATGCTTGACTCACCTCAGCTCTTGGTTAGGAGCCATTCACCACTGCAGCACCGGTGCCATCTGGTGTCTGTAGACGTGTACTGCACTTTAAAGGAAAAGAAATGTCACAGGTTTATTTGACTAGCAATAAGGCGATAAATGTCACCTATTGCCTCTACAGCTCAAAAAAGCACTGACTACAGATTGTTCTTAGACTATGGGGGTAAAAATAAATAAACTATTACTCCTCTAGTAACAGAAAAACAATGCAATATAGGGGACAATCTAAAACTGTGCACGTTTTTCTGTATTTTGTGTATTATTGTGCTTTCATTCTCCAACAAAAAAGCACGTAGCTGTCAAAATCTTTATTATTACCTATTATTATTCATTTTCATTCATTTTGGTCGGTAGTTTGTGGGAATCTTTGTGGGCAAACAACCCACAAGTTTAAATACACACTACGTAACTTTTTTTCTTTTTTTTTTTTAAAGTCCGCCAGAATGTTCCACAGTATGACATTAACTTTACCTATATTGCATTTATTCAATTTATCGATGTTTGGTTGCACAAAAATACCTCAAAAACATGCATTATTACCATGAGCGAGTATTTGGGCTAGCATACTGCAGAACATTCAAAACAAAGTAATATCTCCATGAAAAAAAAGCAGGTGGTGAATTCTCCTCCATAAAAGTGCCATAGTTCACCTTTAAATTCACACAACACCATGTCAAATTGCTTCAAAACATACTTAACTACAGTAATTTGAGCATGCAATTTGTTTCTTCCAAGTTCAACCAATGCTCAGACTCTCTCCCCTTTAGCGGAGAAAGGAGTTAGTGGAGCCCAAAATCTTCGGCAGTGGCGCGGTATTGGCGTGTTTTAAAGGCCTGTCAGTTACGGGACTTTTCTCTCGGCCAAAGGGAAGCAGTGGGATTCAAAGCTGGGGCCCGCGAGGAGGTCCTTTCTTCCTGGAAATGGTGCCTCCTGGACTTGAATGCACCCGGACTGCGCTGGAGCGGTGCGTTTGTGGGAGCGCGCTCGGTATTCACGACCATTGCCCCGGGAAGACCTGCTCTGAATGCTGATGTTACGTACACATAGCATACTACTGGGCCAATGGGCTAACAATGCTACTGATTGGCCAAATTGGATAAAATATTATATTAAAAATTACAAAAATCGGCATTGTCAGAGCATTTTAGTCAATATAAGGTCTCTACCCATTCACAATAGTATATAAAGGAATATAATAAATTAAATATATGGCAATTTTTTTAAGTAAATAAATAAAAAAAAAGTTTAATCTCCACTGTAAAGTTTGCCCAAAATACAGAATTATTTTGTTTTTGTTGCACTTTTAATATGTGTGAATGAATCTTGTAAATGAGCTACTGCAACAAAATCATTTCCTAAAAAGATCAATAAAGTATATCTAATCTAAGCCTGATCCAATTTAAGGCAGTGTACATTTTTTTTGCCAAGTTGTAATAACGCGCGCTATTAGCCCACTTTAGTTAGTTACTACGTTAAATGGAGATGTTGTGCCCTGACCAGTGTCGTTCAGAGTAAAATTGTTTCAAGACATTGTTTCGAAAGCTGGTAAAATACTGCCCTCTGGTGGGCATTTGGCTGCCTTATGTAATCCCTGTCTTGCAGTGCATGTGATGTTACAGTACTTTGTAGGATAATAGGGCTCATACAGGACTAGTTTTATGCTTCAAATACCCCGCATTCTTGAGTCTTAATAATGAGTTATTCCTGTATTTGCCTGATCTCATTTTAAGCTTAAATTGGATGGAACAAATAGACTGTGACTGTGGTGAAAAAATGATCAGTGCATTGATTGTGCAGTCATTCTGCATTACAGTCATAGTGTATAGTTCTTGGCACTCTCACCTTACAACCACAAGGTTCTAGGGTCAATTCCTGGAATGTGGGACCATTCATTGTGTGCAGGTGCTCCTTGTGTTTTGCGCAAACCATCAACCTAAAACATGTCAATAAATAGGATACATAAAATGAATGATAAAATTGAGGAAGAGCTACTATTGGGACAATTAAAGGTGCATTGTGTAACCTTTCTGGTGAGAGGTTGTTGTATTAAGCTTATCTGTTCTTCAAGGTATTTTTTCATCAATTAAAACACTGGTAACTGAATGAATGTAGCCAAACCAGTAACATCTCCAACTGCGACAAGCAACTGGCACACTCCCCATGACAAATGTTACAGAGTGCACCTTTAAGCATACTTTATCCTCAACCATAGCTCATCTAGCATCACTACTACCCACTATAATTAATATATTATAAAAAAAAAAAAAAAACACAAGTAAATTTACCAAAAGTGATCCCATCTCTGTTCTTAACCCACCTAATAGAAATAAGCATTAGTCAAACGTTGTCCGGACATTCAAAATGAAACACAGACAGTTTACTGAATGACAGGTACATGAACAGGTGACACACACACAGTAAAAAGTCATGTGACCAGGGCCAGGACACGCCATGCTGGGTCATGCTGCTCCGCGACATTTATTTAGTGATTTTTGCATTTTTTTTGTTCTTTTTCATTCTCTTGTACAGCATATTTTTTGTCTCCACTTGCGCTCCCCTGTCAAAAAAGAGTGTTTGGGACAGTCAAGAAGCAAGCAAGAGTTCATTGACTTCAACAACTTCCAACCAGTCCATAGATTCCCCATATCAGAATAATAATAATATAATTTAACTTGTTCCAGGCTAGAAAATAATTTACATCACACGTTATTTTGACTTTTTGGGAGATCACAAACATTCCAGCAACACACTCTAGGAATTTTCACGGGTGACAATCGGAAAAAAGCATGACGTTTTTGCATAGTATTAAATGAACAGACATTGAGTTCTTTATTATTTACAATTATTGTTATAGATAAAAAAATATCATAAAAACAAGATGAACACTTAATCACTTACCCATGAATGGCTAAGTTCGCAATAATAATATGCCAAAGTTTAAGTATTTGGCATTTATTATTAGTCTTTTTCTTGGTTTTTCCACAAACTGCATGCGTCTAAATACAGTACATCGAGGCAGGTGAGAGTTATATTGCAAGTTTATCATCAGCATTGTCATTATTATTGGTTTTATTGGAGTTTAAAACCTTGTGTTATTATAATATTATTACTGTTATTGTTAATTGGATGGTTTTAATATGTTTGAGAAACAGCAGTGAACAGTCAGTAATGTACACGTGCTGGCCATTTTATTAGGTACAGCTTGCTAGTACAAAGTTGTATTGCTGGGTTTTAGATGACATCATAGCATTGTAGAGGGCAATACATTTTAATACAGATGGGAGTATCTTAAGGTAATACAGTTAAAATGCAGATTTTTGTTATAATATTAAGTTCTAGGGTGGAGTTACTTATTAGATATTTTAGATACTTTAGATATTTCTTATGAAAATGCCATGTATCATGGGTGAAAGCTTCCTGTAATATGCAATATTTTGAGGAATTATATTTATATTATATTTAAAAATAATTTTAAAATGGTTAATCACTACGGCAACGGCTCCATTCATTGTTCAGAGACCCATGGTTAGTTAAAACTGACTCTTGCCCCTCAACTGGCAGTATGACATCATCCACCAATACCAGTTTTTTTTAATCCTTTCATTGTTAATAATCCTAAACATACTTAAATCAGTTTTCCATTTCCTGTACCTGAATAAAATACTTTACAGCTCTTTGCATCGCTTACTATTGTAGAACCTTTGGGCAAGACACATTACTCAACTGTTATGGGATGCGGCATGCCCAGAATAGAAGCAACCATTTGTCAATCTGCTTTAGGTCAACTGTGGTCAATATATCCTGCAACGTCGCAGTATGACCCACCCCTTGTAATCTTAGATACAACTGTACCTAATAATATGACCAGCGAGAATACCACTTTGCATCACTGCTCTATTTACAAAATCTGCATCCTTTTAAAGCTGAATGAGTTTGAATACTGTTGCATTTTGTCATTGTATTATTATTATCGTTACTTATTGAAAATGCTGTCTTCTGCTGTTATGTCGCTGTTAAACATTTCAACAGACAACAAAAAAACCACAAGCGCATTCGACAACTGTTTCATGTGAACTTAGGAATTAGAATTGACATTTTGCCTGAGCTAACTGTGTAAAGCTTGCACCCTCTCCGCGCGAACAAGGAATGGACTGAGGATAAGAAAGAAAAATACCATATCTAGAAGTGCTTGGATACATGATTGTATACATAGAGATTTAAGTAGAAAAATCGTCAATTCGTTGCATAATGGCCGATTTCATGCTCGCCAATGAAGTTAGTAGTAGAAATAATATATTGTAGTAGTAGTAGGCTAGTTTTAATGGTTTCTCCTTTCAATATCGGTCAACATCTCATCGGTAATTATAGTAATGTCAGATTTTGAAAGCACAATGATAATAATAAATAGTTTACGACTAAGAGTACTGTCATTTGGGGTGGAGCCGCAGGAAGACAAACTTGGTTTAAAACACACGAAGCACATCGAGATTTGTACACCACAGGAGTTGTCATTCATATCCAGATAGTGCAGAAAAATTATCTTTTTTATATATAGAAAAAGAGTCAAAGTAACATTCCATTTTTAGTTGTTTTGTTCAGCGAGTCCTCCTTTTTTTAAGATGGTAAAAATGCCAAAAGTTTCATCTTGTGTAGGCTGTGTCAGTATAGCGTTTGAACAAAAAATAAATACGATTTTCCCAAAACTTTTGCAGATTTTTAGAACGTTGCAGCCTTGCGATGGTGATGTTAAGTTAGAGGAGTCTTTTGAACAAGCAGTTTGTTATAAAGGTCCAGATGTGAGCCGCCATTTTGAGCCCAGGCCATAGCAAACAAAAACAAAATATATGAATAAAAAATGACAAAAAAACAAGTTAAATATCCCCCTGTCTGAGAAATGTTGAGAAAACCAAGGCAAGCAACTCCAACTTGATCCCAACAATCATATTGAGTAATATTAAGATTTCACATGTACTATTATTCCCATTATATTTTGGTTCTTTTTGTTAATTCCTCTAAATATCTACAATAATTGACAAGATAGCAGGCAAT